TGGAAAAGCCCCCTCCCAGATGAGGTCTCTATGGAGAGTCTGGAATCACAGGAAAAATCAGTACCAAGTGTACTTGGCAATGGCTAGGGCATGCAGAGCGCCAAGTGCACTAATAACCAGATAGCCAGGGGGGCTGCTGGAAAACCCCTAGCATGTAAGTTTGATTGATTGCAACAACTGAAGTGTAGCCTAAGTTGATGGATCGGAAGGAAGCACCTACTTCTGTCCCGGAGCCACGCTGCTGATGCAGTGGTGAGTGGCTGAGGTGGTGTTCAGGAGTGTGTTTCGGTCATTGTGTAAAAGAAGTATTGGTTTTGGAGCCTTTAACCCTTGGTGGCAGGGGAAAGGAGATAGATGCTGGCTCATCAGAGGTCAGAATACTGGTTATTGGTACACTTAGCACTGGCTACCTTTCAGTTGTTGTGTTTGACACTAACAGCCTCTTTACATTACCTGTTTTTGGAAGCACTCCTATGGAAATCAAGTACAGCATGTCAGGCTGTCCTGGTTCACTTGTGCCCCAGCTTAACTTGTTTGTGGCTTTATTCCACTGAGGCTGTAAAGAGACTGTACTTGTTTTATGATCTCTATAGTGAGAGGCCATTAAGAAGTTGACAAAGATGTTATTGATGAACAGCTACATGTAAGTCATTTCAGTCCTGGCTGTGATTGCATTTTCTGTCTGATTTGTTGTTTGTGGATGAGGGAAGGGAGAGGAAAGGTAAGATAGGAGCCATACCCTGCTGTGGATGAAAGTATGGCTCAGTCTTGCATTTTGATTAGGAATGAAGCTGGTGCCTGTCACATTGCCATGTTGCTACAGCTTGGAAAATACCCAGTGTTCAAGCATGGATGAAAGAACAGTATTGGTGGGACCCTTTGTTCATCTCTGTATATTGGAGGTGTTTCGTGTCATGTTACAACTGTGATGAGCAATAACCAAACCAGATGCTAAAAGCTCAGTGTAGCTTGATTTTTTTTTTTTTTTTAAAAGTGCTTCTGCAGTCAGAGCAGTTTCTGCCCCTACTGATCAGCAATGAAATTTTTATTTTCACTTGTCTTTTCCCCAGAGGTGTTGAGCACCTGCAATTCCCATTGACTTGGACTGGCTCTGCACTTCTTAACGTGGGTGTCAGGGGTCTGCTTTCTCCCTGAAGAGGAGGCCGATTGATAACACACTTTTGTTTCTGACACTTCTGCTGTAGTTAAGTCTCCAAAGATTTTTTTTTTTTTTCTTTTACAATCAGGAAGGCTTAAAAGTCCTCTGTTGTATATTTAAGCTTAGATTCAGTACACAGGGAACAGCCATAACAACATTCCAGTCAGCACTGACTCAGTCTGACTCCTAGGGAGTCGGAAAGCACGAGAAAATATTCTCGGCATTTTCTCAAATGCCTTAGGAATGTGACAGCCTATAGGAACTGGGTTTGCCCTTGCGCGTCTTGACTGTGGGCTGGTTATCCTTTACTACTGTCTTCCTGTTCGTTCTGTCAGCGTAGTCACAGGAACAGTGGTTCTTCCCTCCCACTTGGAAGCAAGTGTAGCAGTAAGACTCTGCCAGTAGTACTACAGAGGAACTTTATTTTAAAGGACACGCTTGGATGTTTTGGATCTTCTCAGGATAAAAAGGTCAGCATTTCTGTTTCCCTATTTTCTGCAAAAGTCTCTCTGCTGTGTTTGAGTACACATTTATGAACTTCAGGGATGCCTCTGCCCACACCGGTTCCCTCCCCCTCAGTTATCTTATTAATGTTGGGCTGTTCAATCTACAGTTCTGCATTATGGAGAAAATCTGCAGAGCTTTGAGTTTGGGGAATAGTTGTTTGCATTTGGATGAATTCTTGATGAGGTAAATTTTAAGGCTCTGTATGTGTGCATGACACTGTACTGACAAACAGACTGTTGCGTCTTCGAGACACCTGCAAATAAATCTTGTTTGGTGTAAGTGCAATCTGAATTGGCTAATCAACTGGCATTGGAAACAAGCTTGCAAGCAAATGGTTGCTCCTGAATATTAAATGCAGTGATGATGTTATGTAAATCGTAGGCAGGAGGGAAAGAATCAAGCTCTTGTCACAAACTGTCACTAAGATCTCCTCTATTGTTGCTGTTGTGAGGAATAATGTTAAAACAGCTAAATGGCTGTATTGCTCCCTTGGTTCTTCCCATTTGCTAATTAAAATTATAGGCATGTTGAGTACCATTTATGGACCTTCCTGTATACAGCATAGGCTTCCTGGGAAGTTATGGGACAACCACCACATGACACCAGATGTCTGGTATCCTTGCTATAAGATTTTACAAAGAGCATCTGGCAACCCTTATTGAACTTGGATAGGTTTGGAGCTGATCAGCTCTTCTGATCTTGGGTAGTCTTCACCCCACTGAGAGGCTGATGGCACCCTGTTTCCATCTTCATACTGAGGCACATCCAAGATATGATTTAAAACAGCCAGGGGAAATGTAGCTGACAGATGTATAAAGTGTGGTGGATTTTTTTGTGAGAGAAGGCTTGGGCCAGAGGCCAGGTTCCTTCCATCACTGAAGAAATATGTTTATCTCCCACAAACTGTCATCAGTTGACCCTTATTTTTAAATGTTCTGCACAGAGATCTTAGTAGCCTGTGTTTGATGCTTATTTCACAATCCAAGTTGATATGTGTTTGATTAAATGCTGTACTTGGCATGTATTTAACTTAATAGGTGCAATTGTTTAAAAAGGCAAGGAGACTATGATCCTGATGAATTACTAAGCGCTGGGATCCACCTTCTGTTGAGCATGGGAACTGCTGCAATGGGAACAGAAGCTGACAGATGCCAACAGATGAAGCCTATCAGCAAGCCCTGTTCTGTGCAGTTTAAGGTCTTGCCTTGGTTAGGAGAGAGAAGTGTTTTGGGGTGTTTTCAATCAAACAATTTCACACTGTGTTTCCATTGTGTTCAGTGCTGTTTTCTGTTGAGTTACCATAATCCATCTGGTTTGAACCAACTGCATAAAAAAGTACATCTCGCTACTACCCATGACTTAGCCCAGGGGTGGGCAATTATTTTGGGCAGAGGGCTGCTTACTGAGTTTCAGCAAGCCATCAAGGGCCACATGACAGGCAGCCAGGGGCAGATAAATATTCATTTTCTAAGTTTTTTAGGGGCCCCATGGGCCGGATAGAATGGCCTGGCATGCCGCAGCCAGCCCATAGGCTGCATTTTGCCCACCCCTGATTAGTCTAATCAGAAACTAAAATGTCCTGGATGAACTTCAGCGCTGGTATAAACTAACATATTGGAAGAGGTCTTGTGCTGCCTTTTCTGCAGCTGAAATGAAACAATTCTTGCAGACCCTTTGCCTAAATACAGTTTGGAGTTTATTTTGTTTTGCTGTTACTGTTCTAGCTCTGCTTGTGGGTAAGATGATGATTTTTATCTGAGATAATTATATGAATTAGGGTGTTATAGGAGAGGGGACACCCTTATACTGGTAGAAGGGTGCCTTCCACCACTGTAACTTGTTCCTTTTTTTCCTTTCAAGAATAAGTTATGCTGGTATAAACCTCTTATAGTTGTTGTAATTTATATTTTGATATTGCACTGTATTGATCATGAAAATTTTAAAGCCTGCCTAATGGAGGGGGGTGAGGGGAGTGATATATGTTAATCATGCTGCTTTACTTCCCATAAAACAAGGCAGCAGTCTGTCACCCATCCATCCTTGGAAGTTTTCAAGAGCAGGTTAAACAGACCTTCGGCTTAACAGTTTAGCAAGAGATGATCCTGCCTTGCGCTAGGGGGCTGGATTAGATGACCTGGTGAGGTCCCTTCCAGCCTTACTTCCCTATAATCCTAAATGAGAAGCTTTGCTCTGAACCAGTCCTAGCTAAGACTTTACAGACAGTCTTTTGCACAAATGCTGTCATTACATCCTATTGTAGGTTGCAGTTGCGAATCATAGATTTCATAGACATTAGGGCTGGAAGGGACCTCGGAAGATCGAGTCCAGCCTTCTGCCCCAGGGGCAGGAAGTCAGCTGGGGTCACAGGATCCTAGCAAGATAAACATCCAATTTTCTCTTGAAGGCATTCAGAGTAGGTGCTTGAACCACCTCTGATGGCAGGCTGTTCCAGACCTCGGGGGCTCGGACAGTAAAGAAATTCTTCCTTATATCCAGCCTGAAACAGTCTTGCAGTAGTTTATAACCGTTCAACCTCATAGTTCCTTGGGGCGCTCTGGTGAACAAACATTCCCCCAGATCCTGGTGGACACCTCTGATAAACTTGTAGGTGGCCACCAGATCACCCCTGAGCCTGTGCTTTTCCAGGCTGAAGAGTCCCATAGCTCTCAGCCTGTCATCATAAGGCCTGTTTTCCTGCCCTCTCATCATGCACGTGGCTCTCCTCTGGACTCTCTCAAGCTTCTCCACATCCTTTTTAAATTGTGGAGCCCAGAATTGGATGCGGTACTTCAGCTGTGGCCTCACCAAGGCGGAATACAGCAGGCGGATGATGTCCTGGGATTTGCTGAAGAAGAATCTATGGATGCAAGCCAACGTTTTGCTTGCTTTACTGGCCACCGCATCACATTGAAGGCTCATGTTCATCTTGTGGTCAGTCATGACCCCCAAGTCTCTTTCATCCATAGTGGTAGCCAGTGTAGCACTGCTTAGCTTATAAGGATGCTGCAGGTTTTTCCTCCCAAGGTGGAGAACCTTGCATTTTTCGGTGTTAAACCCCGAAATCATAGCCTGCCTTTCAGTTAAAATGGCAAAAGAGAAAAGATGTCCTCCTGGAATGCATTGTAGCTGTCGCAGGAATTGGACAAAGTATGTGCCAGCATCTTAATTCACAAAGCAGTGTCCATCTCATTCAGTCAGCATCTCTCTTGAGAGGTCCTGGAAGGTTCTCAGTCAGGTGAAGCTTGGGGCCTTACCCTGTCACTACTATGGTGCTATATGTCTTGAGCATCTTGTAACTTAATTGTGATACCTCTGTGAGATGCTGAAATGTTATTTCCCGTTTTATGATTTGGGTTGTTGGGGAAAGACAGAACAGGGAAGTTAAGTGACTTTGCTAAGGTCACATAAGGTGTCAGTGGCAAAGGCAGGAATAGAACTCAGCTTCTCTCTGCTAGGTCTTGTCCTTCAAACTATTCTTTCTCCATTTATTGTTGGGTACTTCTGTTGGATACCTCTTTAATAAAACTCCTAGCTACAGCAACCAGGTCAGATTCACCCATGTAAAAAGGGATGACTTGAAAGGCAGAGCTCTTTCTGAACATATTCCTCTGATTTTATTGATATGAAAAGTGCATGTTAATGAAGTTGATATATCCTGGATTTGAGGAGGGGAAAGAGAAAGCAGAATCTGAGTGTATTTTCTTATTCCATAGTACAAGGTCACTGGGTTTGGCCCCTTAGCAAGGTATAGGGAATGTGTGAACTGTTCTTACTTAAAGCAGGGGGTCCAGCTGCTTCATAGGTACTGTCCTGGCAGCTTAGCTGAAAACACTAAAATTATCTTGGTGTTTTTATGGCTTCAGCTTCAGGTAGCCTTCCTGTCCTTTTACAATACTATTGTACTCCTTCTGAGTGGTGCCTGCTTAGTAGTTCAGTCCTTCAACCCCTCCTCCCATGCCCCTCTGCCAGCTGATTCTAGAGAAGATTATTAGGTGGAAGGGGAAAAAAAAGAATACTTTGTGGGTGTGTCTACATGTTCAGTAATGCACTGTAATTACAGCACATTAAGTTTAGTACCTGTAATGACTGGTACTAACAATGCACTGTAATCAGTGCTACAGCATATTAGTACAAATGAATGTTTTTTGTGATGCTACTGTGCATTAGCACAGGTTTTGCCTGCTCTGCTAATGTGCAGTGGAAGTAGTCTTCTGTGCTCTAAGTGTCTCGTGTAGACACACCCTATGACACTTGACCTTGGGTCTGTTGGGTAGAATTACAATAGTCCAGCAGTGACAGAAACTGTCATTCTTTTTTCCTCCTACTTCAGCTGGCTGATTCTGAGTAATTTAGGTCATTCTTAAATCTCATGGGTCAGTGACTTACAGCTGACTCGCCCGCACACACATGCAGTTCAGCAATATATGGATTTGCTTCAAAAAGCCATCTAAGAACTCCATTTGGAGAATGCCCTGACTAATAAAGGGGCTGATTTCTTACTATACCACAGTTCTGGAATGTTAATGACTGACCTGTACACAAATACACATCTAATCTCTTTATGCCAGGAATGCTGAAAAAAGCCCCCTTTGAGTTCAAGAAGAAACATGATTTTTCTTCCAAACTGAAGTTTGGATCTGCTGTGTAGCCCCCCCCACCCCCTTTTTTCCCCATCTGTTGCCACCTGTTAGTATTTCTTTATGAGCTACAAAAATCATACAACATTCCCAGTCCTACACTTCGTACAGAAATGAGCAGTCGGTTCAGTTAATCAGCCTGGAATCTTCCTTATTGGGGCTACCACAAGATTAAGGATCTCTGCCCTGTATGCTCAGGTGCTTGTACACAGCTGTATCTTCCTCAAGAGATTTTTTTTTTTTTTT